TATATAGGTGTGTTCTCTATTGATTATAAAACATCTTTAGCTGTAGATGCACAAATATGCTAATGAAAATACATGTTTTTTTGCAAAGTTCTTCAACAGCGAGTTTTGTTTATATACAGAGTTCTGGCATGAAACTCTAGATGGCGCAGTCCGATAGGTCTAACTCAGTCTGACCTAATGACATCATTATCACATGGCACAGCTGATTGGTTCTCTCCTGTATCGGTAGCCAATGACCTCACTGCTCAACCTTCAAATATATGACTAGTGCTTGCCGTAACAGTTGCAGCTTGCTTCAGAAACCCTCCACCTTCCCCAGCCCCACCTGTATAGATCTGCTACGAGGTGATTCATGAATGCTATATAGGGGTTATTTCATGTATGTTATGTTTGCAGCAGCAATATCTCTTACATGCCCACAGCAGCATGTTGTGGATGTATTGGAGGTAGCAAGTCTCGGTACTTGCTCTGCCGCAGGAGCAGCAGCAGCAATATCTCTTACATGCCCACAGCAGCATGTTATGGATGTATTGGAGGTAGCAAGTCTCGGTACTTGCTCTGCCGCAGGAGCAGCAGCAGCAGCGTAGCAGATCTATTCCGCCAAGACCAAATACAGTAACATTGTCATTTACATTACCATGCCAATCCCTCCAATAGTTGTCATGACAGAACTTTATGTCCTATGAATAGCCTACAAAAGCAACAATGGATTTTAATATTGGTATTGTGGCCATTTCTTCATCTGTCAGTGGTGCTGGTGCAGGTTCTCCCCCCATTTTATGAGTCTCTGCCTTCTTGCTGTTGGCTGAATAGAAGTCAAATGTTTATTTCATTACCCTAATTAAGAAATGTAGCATGTTGGATTAGAGAACAATCAATTATGTGAAAAGACCATTAGACTATGTGGGAAAAGCCGCTGCACATTGAAATAGACACTGAGTATTTATGGAATGTCAAATGTTTGTAAAGTCATGTAGCCTACACGCATGAACCTTTTACACTTGAAGCTTTACCTGCTTGAATTGTTTTTATGTTAAATTTTTTTTCTGCTGCCACGTTTTTTTTTTTTCCTTTCTTTTTTGCCTGTGGAATACCATGAAAATTAATATTAGTTCAATAATTTACTGTTCTGCCAGTTTTCACCTCTGATATTATAACAGTGATTAAGAATTAAAGTGATGTATTGACTTGGAATTATGCGGTCGTCTTTTTGTCGGGTGCTGTTGCCATGGTGAATCATAATTTCGGAGCTCCATTGATCATGGCTTTTCATAGTCGTGGTGCACGTGCTAAACTCAGAGTCAACCTACTCAGAGTCGATTGAACTAACTCAGTTCAGCTCTTCTGAAACCGAAAACTCAGAGTTTCCCATCTCAGGGTAAGTCAACTCAGAGTTCAAGTTTCAACTCAGAGTTTGTTGAACCTCCTTTCTGGAATACACCCCTGGGGTACTTGATGATTACAGACAGGTGTGTTGAAGCAGGATTGGAACTCTGCAGGAAGGTAGCTCTCCAGGAGAAGGGTTGGAGACCCCTGTTCTTTAATGAGTAACTAAAGACAGCTTTTTAGCTCTTTATTTTGCCTCTGTTGTGCTTGGTTCCTTAATTACTGCTTGCAGCTATATTTTTATTTGTTATTATTATATGTGAATAAAAATGTCTTATTCTCCTCAGGCTTCAACCCCAGATGGGACTGCACCTTTAAGTTCCAGCTTCATGTGCCAGAGCTGGTATTAGTACGCTTTAAGGTTGAAGACCATGACTATGCCACCAAGAATGATTTTCTGGGTCAGTTTACACTTCCTTTCACAAGCATGCGGACAGGTATGATTTGTTGATATATTTTTTTTACTGAACACAAACTACTCTGTTGTGACTGCACACTCATTCTACAACATCTGTTCTGCAGGTTACAGACATGTTCATCTGCTGCAGGCAGACGGCTCTAGCATGTCTCCCTCCAGTCTCTTCATCCACGTTAAAATCACACCATGCTACAGCAGCCCTGCTGGACAAGTGGGCACTCATAGTGACAGAGAATGAAGCAATGAGTTGAAGCACCTGAATTGCCCCTTATTTACTTTTACTTTACTTTTACTTTTAGTCATTTAGCAGACGCTTTTATCCAAAGTGACTTACAAATAAGAAAAAGTAATTAAAACTAAAAGCTAAAACTCTATAAATACTATATATATACACACATTTAAGAAAATAAAATAAATTCAATAAAAATGACAAATGCATACAACAACATTTCAAAACTAAACATTTAAATGAAAACAAAATAAATAAAGTATAATAATGATTCTAATATAACACTAAGCCAAACACCAAAAAACAACTACATATGTGTATGTACAGCCACACACATATACATGTACATATATATAAATACATTCAATATATATATATTATTTAATTTCCATTTTGTATGTTGAAGTACTGAAATAACTCAAATTAAATAAAAAACTAAAACTTAATAAAAAAAGCTATATAGACATAATAAAAAAAACTAATAAAATGACAATATTACTACAACTGTAACTAAAACTAAAATAGATAACTAATACAGATCAAACTAAATTAGTTTATCAGTAATCCTAAAAAAATAACACTAAGCCAAACACACATGCTAAAATAACAACAACTTACTGACACATAGTAAGAAATGGTTGTAAAAAATCTGAAAGAGAAGTGAAACAAGTAGTAGAAAAGAGGAGAAATAAAAAGCGATATTATCCTTTGCCGGTGTCCCTGCCCGGTGGAGTCGCATGGTAGAGTCGATGGTCTTTACACTCTTCGGTCTTCACACGACCGCTTCCGCGGTAAACTAAGCTTCTTTTTTATTCGTTTAACAAAACTCAAATTGAATTCAGCTGGACAATTTTCCTTATTTGGAAAATTACATATTTTATATCAAATCTGAGAGCCAAAACTGCCACCACCGAGTGTGAGACAAGTTATAATTTATTTTAAAATGGTGCAGAAGCCATTTCACACTTTGAAAAATGTTTGTCTTGTTCTCCAGTAAAAATAAGTAAATCTCCTCAAAATGTTCATTTTACATAGAATCAAAATGCCAAGATGGAATACAGTGTAAAATAGCAAGACGTGTCTTGAATTAAGTTAACTCTTATATTTTGAGTATAATTGTGACAATTATGTATATCATTTCACTGGAAAACAAGGTTATATGTTCAAGAAAATTATTATTACTATTACTATTATTAATATTATTATTAAAAATATATATGAGCAATATCACTCTCGTACTCGAGCGATACCGGCTCTATATCAGCATGGCTGTGATTAGGCCAGAGGCACGAGGCCGCAGGCCGAG